ACAATTCAATGGAGAAACGAGAACTTTTCAACAAACATCACGTTGGAGTAACGGAATATCCACAGGCAACAACAACAAAATGAACTTAGACCCAAGTCTCACATTTCATACAAAATTAACTCAAAATGGAATACAGACTTAAAAGTAAAATGTAAACTATAATACTTTTAGAAAAGAACATAAAAGAGAAAATTTTGCGGATCTAAAGGGAGAGGCAAAGTTCTTGATGCCAGAAGCATAATCCATAAAAAGAAAAACGGGTAAGCTGGACTTCATCAAAGTTACACATTTTTGCTCTGTGAAAGGCCCAGAAAAGAGAAATGAAAAGACATGCTACTGACTGGTAGGAAATATTTGCAAATCACATATTCAACAAAGGACTGGTATCTGGAAAAATACACACACACACACACACACGCACACACACCCCCCACTTAAAAACCCTCAACCTCAATTGTAAAAAAATCCAGTTAGAAAGAAAAGACATGAAGAAACTAAAGAAGAGATACAGGTGACACGCATGTAAAACAAAGATGCTCAACATCATTGTCATTAGCAAAAGGTAAATCAAAACTGCAATGAGATGTCACTATACACCTATTGGAATGACTAAAATAAAAAAATGGTGACGCCACCAAATGCTGAAAGGACATAAAGAAATGATTACTCATAAACCACTGGTGGGTATATAAAATGGTACAGCTACTCTGCACAAGTTTGGCAATTTCTTAAAAACTAAACATTCAACTACTACATCACTCAACTGCTATATAACTGCTGAGCATTGGACCCAGAAAACTAGATTATATTCACACAAAAACTTGTACACAAATGTTTATAGCAACTTTATTTATAGTAGCCAAAAACTGGCCCAATGTCTCTCAGCAGGTCAACAGTTAAACAACCTGCAGTACATCCATACCATAGGATTCTATTCACACTAAAAAGCACCTGTCGATAGACTTGATACACTCAATAAGCTGGATTAATCTCCAGAATATCATGCTAAATGAAAAAAGCCAATCCCAAAAGGTTACATACGATTATGATTCCAGTTATGTAACTTTGTTGAAATGAAAAAAAACTATAAAAATGCGGAACAGATTATGGTTGCCAAGTGTTAAGAAGGAAGTAGGGATGGGAGCGAAGTGGGTATGGTCATTGAAGGCAAGATGAGGGATCTCTGTGCTGGAAGAAGTTCCGTATGGAAACGTTCTCTAGCTTAGCTATACCAATGTCAATATCCTGGGTATGATATTGTATGACAGTTTTGAAAGATGTTTAGTGTGTGGGAAACAAAAAGGTACACGAAACAGGTCTCCGTATTATTTCTTACAACAGCATGTGAATGTCTTTTCTCAAAAGTTCAGTTAAAAATACCAGCTGCAAGCATATTTTACACTTTGTGAAGAATGAGCTCTTTATTTCAAATGTCCATACCATTCCAAAGGAAAGTATTGGTTATGTATTCCGCTCTAGATTTAAAGAAAATTTAAAACAACACAGAAAATTTTGAAATGACTAAAATGTTTGACCACAGATTAGGAAGACACAAAGACAACCAGGTAGCCTGAATTTTGAACAAGAAATGTCCTATTGCCTCCAAGATAGAACTAACGTGAATGATATATAACTAAGGTTATCTTACCATTAGCAAATTTTGATATATACCCCACTGCAAAATAGTACTTAAATGTTAAAACTATGATAACCTTTATGAGGCTGAATATTAAATCTGGCTCTGGAAGAGACTGGATGTGATCAGGCACATTTAAAATGTCTCGAAATGAACTCAAAACAACCATAGCACCTAGGTTTGAAGTAACAATGAAATAATATTCCCCTTTAAAATCTTGCTTTATGTTTAGAATCATTATGGACAGAAGGGCCAGCTTTGTTCTGGGAGCTTTTCATCATCAAGTTTTTAGTTATGCAAGTTATTAAAAAGGCAAAAGCTTGCATCTTACTTGGATTAAAACCCTAATTTCTAGAAAATAGGTTCTCTTCTTTCTGGTCTGAGTTCAGTATTTCGGATCTCCTATTAAACAATTGGTTAAAAAACTTTCAAAGGGCATTAGAAAGTGAAACTAGGTATCAGAAAAATCTTAGCTGAAGCTAAGTAACTGCATTTGTAAGTTTTCTACCAACGTTATTAGGTTTTGTAGTAACTACTGTTTAACGGTACTTACAGTAAACACTTAAAAATTTGTACTTTGGGTTGGCCAAAGTGGGAATTAATGCCCTTTCAAGTTTATTTAAAGATTCAGTTCAGTTCTAGAAAACTCCCTCTCCAACAAGTAGAGGTGTTGTGCATGTAACGACTGCACAGGAAATCTGGTTTTGCCTTCCACCACTTACATTTTAGGCATAAATGCCATCACTACACAAAACCTACAGGAATCCCACTCCAAGTAATTAAGTGACCAACCTCTTAAAAACTTGCCAGAAGCAACAGTGTCTATAAAAACCTAGTTAGTGTGTTATTTCGCTCTATTTCTGCATTTAAAATGAGGATTATTTGGAGAAAAATATTATGTAACATTCATGTTAACCAAATGACTGCCAAAACAAAGAAGTAAAATTGGTATACTGATACGGTATTTGAATTATGAGAAAATGAGCCAATGGGAGGATTTTCTTCTTGTTCCTATTTGATTTAAAAGAAAAAGATTTGCCAAAGGATGGGGTAGGGTCAAATTAAAAACATTTTAAGATATGTTTGTTATAAGGAGCATACTTACTGTTTTTGCTTTGAGTGTATTATGATGAAATATAGATTCCAAATTCTCCTTGGCTCTCAGCCTTCTGTCTAGTGCTCTGCTCGATATTTGGGGCATAATTCTATACAAACCCTGTAAATATCTGTCCTGATGATCAGGATGCCCAAGCTCTGAATCCAGCTGCTGCCACCAAGAGAACGGCTCCTTTTTGGAGCCCTTACACACAGATCATCACTCAAATCAGTAGTTTCTTTAGAAAACTAGCAATATTCTGGTCTGTCAATTGAGAAAAGAAAATGAAATTCAGTTACTTAGTAAGAAAAATTGGATATACGGAAGGCTGGTCCAAAGGGAGATTTATACTTAGACATTCCCTTTCTTCCCTGCCTCCCAGATATTTCCCTTCTTTTAACACACAGAGTGCTTTTTTTTTTTTTTTTTTTTTTTTTTTTTTTTTTTTTTTGAGACAGAGTTCCGCTCTTGTTACCCAGGCTGGAGTGCAATGGCGCGATCTCAGCTCACCGCAACCTCCGCCTCCTGGGCTCAGGCAATTCTCCTGCCTCAGCCTCCTAAGTAGCTGGGATTACAGGCACACGCCACCATGCCCAGCTAGTTTTTTGTATTTTTAGTAGAGACGGGGTTTCACCATGTTGACCAGGATGGTCTCGATCTCTCGACCTCGTGATCCACCTGCCTCGGCCTCCCAAAGTGCTGGGATTACAGGCGTGAGCCACCGCGCTGGGCCCACAAAGTGCTTTTTATATGCCAAATGCCAAAATGTTAAGTTCCCTGAGGGCAGGAAGTTTCTCCTTTTGGTTCACTCTTAGAATATCCTGTACCCAGGCATGTAGTAGCCTGGCAAAAAAACTAGCCCCAAGTAAGTGCCAAATTAAGTCAAGTATCTATTGAGTAACTACTATGGGAGAGAAGGAAGAAGGAAAGGAAGGAAGGAAACTGTGTTACGTCCTGGGGCCCTGGAAGCTTAGTGCATGTATTTTTTATTTTGATTGGAAAAAATGAGTTGCTTACCATTTAGAAGGCATGCTTCTAAATTTTTTCATCAAAGAACCTTTAATGAAAGTGAAGAAAATTCTGAGGCTTCCACTTCATGTGGTTTGAATTGTACATCTCGGTGTTTGTTTCAAGATTATGCTAGACTGTCAAGTCATTGCTTTTTCTAAAATGTCCTCTGCAGTGCAGGTAGACCAGAAACCACACTTCCCACAAACTCCTTCTGTCTCTGGTTCTAAGTTAGAGCTGATCAGTAACAGCCATTTCCATGAAATTTGGAAGGCACGGAGAAGGAGAGGCCATCTTTCCTCAGAGGCTAGCAGGCAGCAGACATGGGTTTCACATCAGTTTCAAGATCTCTTGCAAGGCACTGGCTTTGGAACTATTAACAGCTAAGAGCTGGGGACAGCTCCCTGTGACACAATGTCAGTGCTGCACGCCAAGACAGCACAGGCTTCTGGATGTTCTCAAGAGTCACAGCAGTCCCTGGGCCAGCTCCTGAGATCTACCCACTTTGCAGCTGCAGACACTTCCCTCACCCATCCTTTTGATGTCTGATTCCCTATGTTAAAACACTTTATACTTGTAATGCATCAAGTGGTTTCTGTTTTTCTAACTGAATTGTTAAAATATTCAAAATTAACATTAAAGGGAAAAGTTTCCCACCTATCTTGTGACCTTCAGTGAATGTAATGCTGCTTCTTCCAATCCACTGACTTTGGAAAATGTGCATGTCTGCTTTTGTTGTTACTGTTACAACCAGGTAATTTCTTTCCTATCTCTCATGTCACAGTATTTTGAGGATGCGAATTCCTAAATACTCAGAAAAAATGGTTTCATCTTAATTGATGTATAAATTATGTACTTGTTTATAGAGAATTTTGTCAAAAGAAGCAGTACACTGTAACACTTTCAGGCTCCAAATGGCTTACAATTTGGTAAGTGTATTTCTTTGCTGACAAGTCAAACTGTTCAAATGTATGGAGAACTGAAAAGGTCTGGGATTCACAGGTCCATTTTTTGTTTTAACTTAATCATGAAACTACACACCTTTTTTTTTACCCCCAGATAATGCTATTTACCACAAATAAATTTTTATCACATTTAAATGAACTTGAAAATATCATTCAACTCAAATCCCTCAGTCAACTTACTTCAGCCCATAATAAAACTTTATATTACAGCAAACCAGCCACGTGAAAGAAATAAATTCAATTCTGACTTTCAAAAAAATAAATGAATAAGTTACCTTTGTGAACCTTAGCTATAAAGGTGGACGATGACTTTATTTTCTTTATATAAGTTTTATGTTTTATTATAACATTCATTTTTCTACATGAAGACAGAAATGAAAATTATACCAACCACATAAACTATTTTCTACTTTCCTCGCTAAATCACAGATGTATGTCATGGAAAGAGGGGCCTTTAAAGGCACTTATTTATCATTGTAGGTTTATCTACAAAATTGATATTCAAAACCACAACTTTTCTGTGTACAAAATTTTACAATTTTTAACAGAAGCAGTGAAGACACCAAACAACTCGTGGCGACCTCCTCAAAGTGCAGTGTCCTTGGTCACCGATGCAGATGCTACTGGGGCAGCCAGTGTGCTCAGAGGGTCCAACTCCAGACACTGCATCCATGGCTGTCCTAGACTCAGCTTCATCTGTGCCCATATCTGTACTTTTAAAAGAGATGGTCCCATGCCTACTAAAAAACAAGCTACTCTATATCAATATGACATCACTCTTTTACCATCAATCATATTGCAAGACCATACTATTTAATGACCAATACCACAGCCAAATACTTAATGCCATATTGTCATTCAATTTACCTGGCTGGTTAATGTCAATCTGTATTTGAATATGTCTTTTGAGCACACAAAAACAAATGTATAGTCACTTGATGAGGAAATTCTTCATTTTGACTCAAATGGATTCACCATGCTGTCAGTTACGAAAACAACTCTAATTTTATTCTCCACAGGGCAACCTTCACTTTTCACAGCAATTCTAAAACTGACCTACAGAAAAATTTCAATATACATATACTTTTTAATTTGGCTACCATACTATGTTTTTTATTTAATTTTTTCTAATCAAGACTACTCTTATGTTCCAAATATTTTACCGAAAGTTTTTCCCTCAAAATTAATGTTTCTTAAAAGAACTGAAACCACTAACATTCCTGCTCAAACCACTGATAAGTGCGCTAGTTAAAATAATAATTTATAATTACACTTCAAATAAAGGTACTAAAATCATGCCCCCTAAATTTTTAAGTGCTTTTGTTGTTACTGAATACTCAATGCGAAATGAATAGAAGTAAATTTATCAAGTATAGCAAAAAAACTGAACTGACTGTGGAAGCCATGGGGATGGGACTTTACAACAGCAGCAAGAGGCGAGTTTATCACCAGAAACCTCATGTGCCTCTGTGCACTTGGGGTAAAGGCCACATCCGAGCAGGCCTGGTGGGTGGCCATTGACCTCAGAACTGGTCCTTTTGTGTGAATTCTCCTCCCTGCATTGTCCATTCTGTTCTAGAGCCGTCTGATTCTGGCCACAGGAGTCTCCAAGTTCCAATCACTCATTCACAATAAAGTTTTCTGTAGTCTCTTTTGTGGGGAAAAAATAAATAAATAAATAAAATGGAGTTTTTCTGACATGCAAAGCAACTTCTACCAGTCTGACAAAGTAGGTATCATCGGTGACACCCTAAAATAAAAACCTGGAGTGAACTGTGCTCCAGAAAGACATTGAATGGCCACAGCGCATGTGGTGGTGTCTCCAGTGCTGAGGTTTCAGGCAGCACAAGCACCAAGTATCAGGTGACCACTGTGGTCCCACCAGGGCACAGTCCTCATGAAACAGGCCTAACCAGATACTTTATAACTCATCTTTATTTTGGTTGCAAAGATATGGTTTACTTAGCTACTTACTATTTGTTTCCATTTGAAGTCTCAGAGCTTGCCAAGTTAAACACTGCCTTCAATACTGAACTGCTGTACAAAAACATTATAAAATACAAAATATAAACTAAGTTAATCCTCTTTACAGTATTCAGATTAGTGCATTGAAACACTGATTTAAAAAGGCAAGTGAGATAATTGGCAGACAACCAATTGCTTTTCTAATGCAGGATGATACAAAACAGCACAAAAGGTAAACACTCAATTTCAAGTGTCAGGTGCTCAAAAACAGTTAATTGTGGGAAAGTTACTTTCCAAAAGCAATTCTGACCCAAAAGTTGTAACCATTATTCTACAAGACATAAGGGAAGGTAAATAATGGCCCACAAAACCAGATGATGTGGTTAAGATAACTAGTTTGGTGGAATAACAAGCTGGGATCTTTAGAATCCAAACACAATAGGTATTGGTTTGTCATACTTGTCTTCTAAATTACGTTAAACACTTATAGTAACTACACTTTCCCCAGTAAACATCAGACTTAAATAGACCATATGTAACAACAACCTATCCTTAGTATTTTTACTAGACAATCTACAGCAAAAGCTTAACAATATATATACAGCAGTATAAAATAAACTAGAAAAGTATTCACCGACTTCAGAGTAAAAAGGATCTTAAAAGAAAACCAACAACAAAAATTAAATACTTTGTGCTGTTGTGAACCAGAAAAAACAACAACCAATGAATAGACCTTATTTTAAGTTACTGAGAATATTTTCCCTGCTGAAGCAAATGAAAAGAGATTTTTAATTGAAGTAACACAAATCTGGGTGTGTCACATTGACAGGGAGATGCAGACAGAATCCACAGACCTTTAAATTTACGAATTCCCAAAACTAAGTCAAGCAGGGTAAATAAATTATATGTGAAAGGCATATACAATGTGGGCAAAAACTTAACAATTATTAAATTGAAGAGCATGGAAGTTATGTCAGCAGTGATAGAAAATCTTTCAGTATTAGAAAATATCAGATTTAATGCAAAGAAACCACCCCAACCCCCCAATAAAAATAACAAAGAATGGGAACCATCCTTTATACAATAGCTTTAAAATAATAATTAAAAAAAACAACAACCATGATTACAGGAATCTTCCTACATAATTTAGACAATGTAGTGCAAGAGTGTGCTCCTTTATAACTTCAGCGGCTCAACCCCCATATGATGAAACCAATAATCACGACTCCAATGACCAGGATAAGAATGATGATGCACAGGGTTTTTCTGGATTTGCGCTACAGATGCAAAAAAAAAAAAAAAAAAAAAAAAAAAGTTTACGGATTTAGTGAAGTATCGCTACAGCAACTAAAAATAATTTGGTTCATTTCTAGAGTAAAACCAGTAGTAGAGGATTGCCCTCAAATTTTTGACTATGTTTTTTGTTTTTCATAAATCTCTTTAATACATATGGCACTATTCTTTCAAAAAATATTTTTGAATTAATGCTACACTAAGGGAGCAATTTTTCAACTTTTGTTGGTGATTTTTCTGAGGGTGTGGCTGAGCTTAAGAAAGAAGACACCACGAAATAAGTTACTGACCCAAAAGACTGAGGGTACCTATATATAAAAACAAAGAACCATTTAAAAGTTAGACATTCTTTACCTTTTATTAAAGTTTTTCTTAAAAATGGGTTCTCTGAAGAGATCAGCAAATATACACTGGCAACGTTTCCTCACGTACATTTCTTGTTTCCAAAATGATTTTGGAATGAGTTCCCAAAATCATTCTCATTCCTTAATATTAATGGAAACTACATTCAAAATCTCAACAAATGAAAACCACAGAGCAAACAAAATCATGCTGCTGTCATTGAAAACTGAATGGTTAATGATTTTGCTTCATTCTTCATTCCTGGTCCAGTTGTAGATTTCTGTATTTCTTTAATAGCATTTGTATCTCACATCAACATGCAGGAATCCTTTTTCTTACAAAGTAAAAAATTTGTAAATTTACTTTGTGTCAAGTAGAAGTATCATGATATTTATCAAAACATATATTTGAGTCTGAAATTACCCTGAAAACCATAAATACTTTGAATATTCCACATATTCACCTAATTATTCAAGTGAATACTTTGAGTATTCCACATATTCACCTAACTATTCAAGTGAATACTCCTCATGCGTCAAACACAATTTCTCTTTTTGAAATCATGCATAAGTATTTTCCCTAGGCACCACTTGGTTATGATAAACTCACATGTAATGTACCTGTGAGTCATCACGGGTATCCCACAACGGTTATTTGTTGCCTAGGGTACTCCCCGTAGTATGGGATAATGAGGCCCTGTGGCAATGTGGTGATAAGCGAATTTATCACCTTCCTTATGCTTATGTTCACCCAAACATATCAAGGCTTCCAAATAGAACTACTGGAAAGCTGCCTCTTTTCTCAGCACTTATGTTGCTTGACCATCCTGTCTCCCTTCGGGGGCTGTGGGAATGAAGCCTGGGGGCAGCTCCCAGTGCTGGGGTATAGCCTGGGACATGTGATTTTTCTTGTAGGCTTCTGCTTCCACAAAGAAGAGGTAAAGTAAAACTTGGCAATATATCCACATTCCCTCCAAATCCAAAAGCAAAATAAAATATCATGTGAACCTAGTCACTGATGGATCTTGTTCAGTTTTAGCAGTTATACACTAACAGCTCCGGAAGACTTCCGTCATTTGCAGATAATCGCGGGTATGCAGGGGTGTGTGTGTGTGTGTGTGTGTGTGTGTGTGTGTGTGTGTGTTTTCAATTATTCATTAGGGACACCTAAAGTCCATGACACAGTGATATAGTGATAATAATTCCACTGAGCTGCATACCTAAATTACACACACAAAGATGATAAACAGGAGTGACTGTCAGTGAATACAATTGTTTATAACTCAGCTATCTCCGTATAGCTTCATTATTTTTTACTTGTCATTGAATATGCAGTAATTTGTCCAGTAAAAGATAGACTGTGAAATGAAAGGCAACTTCTAAGGTTAGTAAGAAAAACAAAAAGCAATTGAAAATGTCTGAGATGACAGTATCTTCGATATTTTATAAGCAGTTAACAACGGCTGGGCATGGTGGCTCACATCTGTAATCCCAGCACTTTGGGAGATGAGGTGGGTAGATCACTTGAGCCCAGGAGTTCCAGACCAGCCTGGGCAACCCAGTGAAACTCCACCTCTACAAAAAACACAAAAATTAGCCAGGCTTGATGGTACACACCATTCGGGAGGCTGAGGCAGGAAGATGTCTTCAGCCCATGAGGCAGAGGTTGTAGTGAGGCGAGAATACACCACTGCACTCCAGGCTGGGCATCAGAGCCAGACTCTGTAACAAAAAAAATAGTTAAGGGGCCGGGCGCGGTGGCTCAAGCCTGTAATCCCAGCACTTTGGGAGGCCGAGGCAGGTGGATCACGAGGTCAAGATATCGAGACCATCCTGGTCAACATGGTGAAACCCCGTCTCTACTAAATATACAAAAAATTAGCTGGGCATGGTGGCGTGTGCCTGTAATCCCAGCTACTCAGGAGGCTGAGGCAAGAGAATTGCCTGAACCCAGGAGGCAGAGGTTGCGGTGAGCCGAGATCGCGCCATTGCACTCCAGCCTGGGTAACAAGAGCGAAACTCCGTCTCAAAAAAAAAAAAAAAAAAAAAAAAGTTAATAAGATCAAGAAAGTGATAATTATGAATGACAGCAACACCAAACTGGAGTTTAGAAAAGGAAATCAAATGCTATCTGGTATTCAGGGGTTTCCAAAGAGCCTGGCCTTATCCATGTTCAACATCAAAAGTCTACATATTGTATGAGGTAGTAGTAGTTGCTAGTTCTAGTATATGTATAGTACTTGACACATAATTTATATTTGACAAATGCATGTGGACTCCCTATATTAACCCGACTCAAGAAATAAATTCATTCCTGGTGAAGGGTCTGTTGAATGCAAACAGAATATATGATGAACAATGACACTCCAAGCTAATATGATTTCCACAAGACCTGCAGCGATCTCTCTAGAACAAGGAAATTTGCCTCTTTCGTCCAGAGTGCAACTGACAGAAAGAAAAAGTAAAAGGGAGGAGCGAGAAATGGAAGGAGGAGCCTATCAAAAAGAGGTTTTGGGGTAGAAATGTCACAATGACATCAGAGATCCCCGGCCATCAGAAAACCCTGGAATTGTCTCTGCAGCCCAAACACTAAACTTCCTCTTCCTGTGGGCCCACAACTCTGGTTCAACCCTAAGAACACAGGCTAAAATCAGTGCTAAACTGACTGGTACTGTTTAAACAGACTTCTCTTCCATGGGATTTTAAATTTTAACATCTTCAGCCATTTTAAACCTAATCTATCTTCCCCCACCCCATCCCCCCACCCATACACACGTGGAAAGGCTAAGTTTTAAGAAAACTGATCACAGGTAAATTACCTGATAATCTGCTGCCCTTGACAGTTGTTGATTTGCCTGCTGAACGTGCACCTCTGCATTTTCTACATTGGCTTCTATGCTATCTGTAAATAAAACACACACACACACACACACACACACACACACACGTGTTAAATACATATTGATACTCCAGTAATAAATCACCAGATTTCATTCAAGGTATGATTAAATATGGTCATTATTCAAAGGTTAATAGTAGTATATCGTAAAGTTGAATTTTTTTAAGCTGGCTGTAAGAATTATAGCATACGTCTATACTATCTTTCAGGCAATCCAAACTATTCACAAGCATTTGCAGAACAGAATCTTGATCATCTTCATTACAGAGCAACTCTGGTTCTACCTGGCAAACTCTGAAAAGTATGGTCAACCTGACATTATCAAATCAGTCTCAGCACAAGAGATGTCTCAGTCTCAAACTCCACAACTTGTTCTATCGCAAGATCAATGCACAAGAGATCAACCCTCTTCTTTCTACTGCTGCAGATTTTATTCATCACGATAAAAACTGGTACCTCTGACTTTTCAAAGAATAATACTATTTGAATATATTCTTTGAATATATACTTTGAAAATAATAATATTCTTTGAAAAGTCAGAGGTACTGGTTTTTATCATGATGAATAAAACAAACAGAGGGAAACAAACAGAAAAACTCAAATGCTAAAACTTGATCCCTTAATCATCATGTTAATCCTTAATGTTTCTCAGTTTCTTTTCCCGCTTTGTCTTTGTAAATGCAATGTACTTTAAGGTACTACAGCGTAATACCTATGCTCTACTTAGTATGTATTCTATAATGGCCGACTGAATAGCAAGCATGTGACGAAATTTATTTAGGGTAAATACAAAGTGCTGAAAACCATTTACTCTGTGGTCATCAACATACATCTGTGCTGAAACCTAGCCCTCACTGAGAGCCCATGCAGTCTTCTTAAATGGTGGCAGTTGGAATGGGTGTCATTTTGAAGCACAGGACTCGTGTCTCTTCCTATCTACCAACTCTCAGCTTTAAAGCTCATGCTGTCAAACTCAGCCAACCCTCCCTGTTGCAGACATGTATAAATCGTATGGCCTTTTCTTCTCATTCCTTTAATAGTTTAGCCTCTGACTCACTGATGCTCTCTCTAATACTTCTCTTATTATACAAACTGGTGACTTCAAGATCCAACTGCTGACCCTTCTAACACCCTGGCCTCTCAGTTCACTGACCATACTTTTTCCAAAGACTGATACCTTTCCTCACCCACCCATTTCCATGGTCACATCCCGAACCCTTGACATTTACTAAGAACAGTAGTTGTTCCATAATCTCAATTTCGAGGATCTCACTATCTGATCACCTCCTTCTATTTCTAGAGCTCACTCCTTCTAATGCCCTGGCTCCAACAATTTTCAACTTTCATTGATCCTACAACTTTTTCACTGTCTCTCACATATGGCATGTCCTCACTTCCCTCCTTACCTAGCCTTAGAGTCCTTGGACAATCACTCAGCCTCAGCTTGCACTCATCCTCAGCTCCCTTGCTCCTCCACTTTAGTCATATGACAAAACTCCACCCAGTACCCATGCAGCTGATTATGGGTGTAAAAAGGATGAACCAAGTTTTATTTTAGTGTCATGACTGCCAAGCAGGTTTATTTTTCATTTCCTTAACACCTGAAAGACTGTCATACTTTCTCTTCTCTCCTCAAGGTTCTGAGGCCTCCTTGGGCATCATCATTCTTAGCTAGTGACCTTGATTTCCAGCCCTTTGAAACAATAGGAACCATCAGAAGACATTTCCACACGTTTTCATGACCCTGTCTATATGCGTTATCTGTGTGTCCTGACAACTCCCTTGTTGTCAGGAATATCATTCCATTTGTGCACTTTATCACATTCCCTATCGCTTAACTCAAAAACCTCAGTGCAGCAAACTTCCTCTTTCTCTTACTTATCATTAATATTTCTTTCCCTTGTGGATCATCTCCATCAATCCCACAGCTGCCACCTAAAAACTCATTTATTCTATATCCATTTTTGCAGCTATGACTGCATTCTCTTTCACATTCCCTCTTTACTCTTCAAAAGAGTCATCTATACTTGGTATCCACCACTGTTCTCAACCTATCCTCTCTCGAGCCTACTTTTATCATGCTTTCACCTACACCATTTCACCAACACAGCTCTTACTGAGGTCACCTATGCCCTATACATTGTTAAATCCAGTAGTCAAATCCTAATCCTCATTTTACTTGACCTAACAACAGCATTTGTTGTTGACCATCCAATGTTCTTGAAGCACTTTTTCACTTCCCTTCTAGGACAATTCACTCATTTGGATTTCCTCCACATCACTGGCTGTTCTTTAGTCTTTTGTATTTGTTTTTCTTCAACTGCCTGGGCTCTTAATCAGAGGTTAAGAAACATTTTCTGCAAAGAGCCAGAGAATGAATAAGCTTTGTGAGTTGCATGATCTGTTACAAGTATTCAGCTATGCCTTCACTGTGCAAAAGCAACCACAGACGATATGTAAATGAATAAATGTAGTTTGAAGACACTGTTCTTAACATTTAGAGGACGCAGGGCTAAGTCCTAAGACCCCTTCTGTTCTCTATCCAGACTTAATTCCTGGATTATCTCTCCCAATCTTGTGGTGTTAAATGTTATGTGTACACAGATAACTCCTACATTTAGATTTCCTGCCTAGCCTTCTCCCCTGAACTCCATGTTCATTTTACTAATGTCCAGAAGACCTTCACCTGGTGTAAAGGGGACCCTCAAACTTAACATACTCAAAAATTATTGATTTATACCCATCTAAGCCTGCTCCACTGACAGATTTCCCATCTTAGAAAATGTCCACCATCATAGCGGGCCAAGCTAAAACGTTAGCATCACCCTTAAATTAATTCTTGCTTTCAAACCTATATCCAGCCAGTCAGTAAATCTTTTCAACTCTCCACTTAAAAAATACCTGAAATCTATTAACTTTTCACCATCCCGCTAGTTCTCTCTTGATCGAAGCCAACAAGATTGCTCATCTGGATGACTGCAGTGGCCTGTTAGGTGATCTTGCTTTTTGTTTTTTCTCAGCAGCAGGGTTATAATACTCCTCTGCTCAAATCCTCCTTGGCTTCTCATTCATTTGTAAAGATTAAAGTCCTTACACTGGCTCAGGCTCCTACATGACATCATCCCTTGCCCTTGGACATGATCTCCATCTCCTTCTTGCTCATTAAAATGTCAGGTATGCTTCTGCCTCAAGGCCTTTGTACTCGCTGTTCTTTCTGCCTGGAACACTTTCTCTTACTTGCTCCCTGACATCCACCAAGGCTTCACTAAAATGTCACCTATAAGTAAGGCCATACCTGACTACCCAGCGTCAAGGGGCAACACTTTCCACCCCTAGCAGTCCCATCCCTCTACCCTGGACTTATTGTTCCCATAACACTTATCACCATTTACTTGATATTCTCTCCTTTTTAAAAACTTATCTTTCTTCCCATTATAAGATCAATTGAGATAGGGTATTTTATCTGTTATTTAATTTCAGCTGAATCCCCAATGCCTAGATTTGCATCTGGACATAGAAGCTGCTCAACATATTTTGGATGACAAATAAATTGGTTTTTGAAATTTTACCCTGTGATGTACTGGGGATACAGACAGGGGTAATAATGGATAAAAAATAGTTACACTGAAGTAAAAGTGCAAATACTTCTGTCGCACCAAATTCAGAAAACAATAGATAGCTCCAGATTTCAAGATGGTCAGAATCCTGATGAATGCAAACGACTACACTGAAATGCTGTAACATTCAATACTTAAGGGATTCTTTTTTTTTTTTCCCCAAGACGGAGTTTTGCTCTTGTTGCCCAGGCTGGAGTGCAATGGCGCGATCTCGGCTCACCACAACCTCCGTCTCCTGGGTTCAGGCGATTCTCCTGCCTCAGCCTCCTGAGTAGCTGGGATTACAGGCACGCGACACCATGCCCAGCTAATTTTTTTTATTTTTAGTAGAGACAGGGTTTCACCATGTTGACCAGGGTGGTCTCGATCTCTTGACCTCGTGATCCACCCGCCTCGGCCTCCCAAAGTGCTGGGATTACAGGTGTGAGCCACCGCGCCCGGCCAGGGATTCTTAAGTAAAAAAAAAAAAATCACTTCTAAAAAGAACTCCTAACTTCTACAAAACACTACTAAATTCAGCTACCAAAAAGCTACTAAAATGAATGATTAGGCAAATGGCTACCTATTCCCTATAACCTAAAAGACAAGATGTCATGCATAATTAAACATACCACGAGTTTCCCCAAAAGTGCTTAGCATGGTGATGGTTAAAATAGATTAAGACTAAAACCAGAGACCCTGGAAATAAGCTGGAATAATGTTTCAGGATGCCTTCCATGGTTTTGGCAGCAGTAGACCCTGATTAAATTTGGGCTTTTGAACTAAATTAAGCTGGTTATTTTAACCAGCAGGGGTAAAAAATGTGATCTGTTTTCGATAATGCCAAGGGTGATGCTTAGTGTGTTTTACAGATCATGCTTCTGGTTCCAGGGAAACCAAAAGAGGTACAGAAAGTGGTTACTCCTGTGTGAGAGAGATACCGTAGGTAAAGTGCCTGTAGGTTGCTCTCACCTCTAAAATCTAAGTCAGCAGGTCTTACCTATTACATCTCCTTGTTCATGAATCATCATTCCCAAATCTTTAAATATTTCATTAATATCCATAATATCAGCCTAAGAGAAGAAGGAATATATTACTATAATCAGAAATTCAGTCCCCATTCCTCCAAAGAAGAAAAATTTAAAAAACCCAAACCCCTACTCACACATGGGTGAGCATGCATCTATAATATAAAAATATAATACATGAATTTTGGAAAGATCAAGAAAATATTTGACAATAAGAAATCCTAATTAAGAAGACTTTGAACAACAGCCATCAGTTCTCTAAAATAAGTTTGTGGCATTAAAAATACCAAGTGAGTGAGACAGAATGGAAATGAAGGCTGTATAATAGAGAAGAGCCATGGATTACTGAGTTCATTTCATACAATCTGATAGTTTTGATATCACCAGCAGTATCTACTTACAAGAGTGTAAGATATTCTTACCATGTATTTCTAGTAAAAATTTACACATCAATTTGACAATCTAAAATAATAAAGCATTAGATGTAAACGTAAAGTCTCACAATAATTTGAACATGTAATGGATTAGTGATATGTCACTACTGGATAAAGAAGTTATAAATTTAGTTAAGTAAAGAAAATATAAATTTATTTTTCTTTAATGACACAATTAACTACTTCATAGAGTTTTTGTAAGGACTAAATGAGATAATTAACATAAAGAATTCATCCCATAGTGCCTGGCATATGGAAGGTCTTCAATAAATTGTAGCCATTGTTAGCTATTACTACTCTTCGTTCTAGGAACTAAGGAGGTTCCATAAGAACTATGACTTAATACATTTTTTAGATCTCTTCGATGTCAAAAACATAGTAAAGAAATATAAAATACCTTGCAGGCCTTACAAAAAGTCTTACTCATGCAGGTACAATGTGCATCGTGTGCCCGGGAAAGACATCCAGACTTTCTGGACAGACATTTATCTCTACACTGGTATTTTCTCAGTACTAGGGTGGTCCATAGATGACTTAATAGCATAAAAAGAAAAAAGCTGCAACAGGAAGGAGTAGGTTCCCTCATCTTAGACAAACAATAAGAACAATATTTTTTTAAAGGAATTATTCTAACTTATACATTACAAATACTACCAAATTGATACATTAATTTTCTTTGTCTATGTCAGGCCTGGTGTCTCACACCTGTAATCCCAGCACTGCAGGAGTTCAAGACAGGCAGATCAAGTGAGACTACGAGTTTGACACCAGCCTGGCCAACATGGTGAAACCCTTTCTCTATTAAAAGTACAAAAAATTAGTCAGGCAGGTGGCATGTGGCTGTAATCACAGCTCCTCAGGAAACTGAGGCACGAAAATTGCCTGAATCTGGGAGGCAGAGGTTGCAGTGAGCTGACATCGTGCCACTGCACTCCAGACTGGCCCACAGAGGGAGTTGCCTAAAAAAAAAAAAAAAAATTTCTTTCTCATGCCTTCTCTCAGCATTATCCAAGTATCTCGATAACAAACTCACTAAGAACAGAGCAGCAGCCCAAGGCTACAATGAAAGGCTTACTTCAAGTTGCCTGATAGAAGACTCTCTTTCATGAATAAGGCGGAGGTCATCCTCTGTAATTTCTTCATCCTGCAACTGCACTTGAGGTTGAGTTTGGCTAACAGAAAAAAATGAATGCGGAAAAAAACAAAGACCGATATTCAAAACAATGAGACTCATTTCCTAGTTAAGATATATTCATTAAGTAGATTTTATTTTTCAAAGTCACAGAAGTTCTCACTTAAAAAATTCTAAGACTATAACAGATTTATTAATCAAATTTTACTCATTTTTCATTTCACTTATACCATTTTATCTAATATGAGTTTAATATTATTACTTAATTATTGGAAGCTATATTTGGCAACTGGGTATTTCTTCTCAGCTGACTTAAACCTCATATGAGGGAATGTCTACATTAATAATTAAGTTCATAAATATTTATTTGGAAAATTTTATATTTAATAAATACTCTATAATTACTTATTTTTTTTTAAACTTACTCTCTGTTTTCAATGTATAAACAACTTAAGTTATTTATGATATAATATACTGAAAGTTTTAATTCTGTTCCAGGGACTTTATTTAATGTCTGAACTTTGAAAAATTTACCTTTTGATCTGTAAAATATTTTGTTTTTCTTACCTTTCCCAGGATACAAGATTCCTTTCTTTTGAGCTGTCCTCAGGAAAACCTCCCTGAATAATTTAGTAACAGGATGGAATGAGAAGGGAGAAAGAGAGCAAAAATAAGAAAAAATATTTTCCCTTATAATAATCTAAACTGATTTATGTATGTGTGTGTGTGTGTGTGTGTGTGTGTGTGTGTGTGTGTGTGTGTATGGAGAGAGAGAGAGATGATCTTGTTCTAATTTTTCAGTTCAACTGCTTCAAGTAATAATATAATTATGAGCAATTTTATATTCTAAGTAGACAAGAAAGGAATTCACTAAATATTCTCAAGGGCCAAATAAATATTACTTGGTTAAAGCTTAATGTAGTCTTGGAATCCATATGTTAAGGAATAAGAAAACAACTCATGATAGTTTGTAAGGGAATTTAAAATTAGATTAATTCAAAATTCTACTGAAAGTTTCCTTTCATTTATTTTCTCCAGGCTCATGTTCATTTTCAATATTCATACAACATACTTGCACCATTCATCTTTGTCATCTTGGTGTAATCCAGGAGGAAATTGCTTTCTATATTAGCGTGTACATAAGCAGAAAGCCTCAGTACCAATACAATATAAGAATACTAATCAGGATTTGATCCCTAATCTTTTCTGACAAAATATGTCTCTAAATTTTTACGTAATCTATAATCTTCTGTAAAATGACACAGAAAAAAATAACCAGAGTAACACATAATTATCATCCTTCTCTAAAAATGGAGCAGAAAAGCATAAAAATAAAATATTGAAGTGCTGATTTCCAAGATATTCACAGATCTTACATAACTTAAAAAGTTATGCTACTACAGACTTTTATGGGCCCCTTAGAAAGTAACCATGTTTATTTCTAGAATGTCACTACATACTTACAGACACTCTGGAACTGGCTCTGACTCGAGCAACAAACTCTTTCTCTCGCTCAGCAGCCTGCCTCTGGACCTTCTGGAAGTTTGTCAGTGATGTTGTGAACTCTGCCACTAAGCGATCTTTCTGTATTTTCCTTTGACGCTAGTGAGAGAAAAAAAAAAGCCAACTAGAATCAAGCTGTGAAGTTCAACAGAATTTGGTAGTTGTTTTATCATTAGCTGGTTCTTTATTTAATCCTGAAGTTTTCACTTACTCCCCAATTACAGGGCCCTATGGATTAACTTTCAATAACATTCTGACAGTATGTCAAACGCTGTACATATTTAACTTGAGGCAAAAGACCCATTGTGCTGGATTTCCCACCTCAAGTTTTCATGCTGCTAAATACTAGCTCGTGATTTTGAGGCTATTTTAAAGCAATTCCTTTTTCGGCAAATAAAGCCTTATGCTTTTAGCTAAGTAATAACTTCCATTGAATAAGCAGGGAAATAAATATGTTCCCCCAGGACACCTCACATGTTGAATGAGTCTGCACGTTGCATGAAGTCGGACCGGGGAGGCCAGGAAATAATAACTCAGGAAGCATTTTCTGAGAACTTACTTAATTACGGGTCAGGGCAAATGCATGGAAATAATTTTTGCTTTATTGAACCACAGGATACTACCTGAGCAATTAAATATAGTTTTGTGTTCTGTGAACTAATCTCAAGCAGAATTATTTTTGATTTCCTTTTTAGCATAAGAGTTCAAAGATCCTACAATGCATTTAATTTTTTTTTTCATATTCAATACATCAACAATGTGTCTTAAAGCTTGATACCTTACCTGTTCACTAGGGGTGGTGGGCAGAGATCCAAACTCTTTAATGTACTTGTCCGTTTCTTTGGCAAGCTGGTTAGTATATTGCTGCTTCTGCTGCCTGAAGTGAGAAAACACACATTACAGACAAAGGACTAATATACTTCTTTAAGCTACAACTCTGCCATTTAAATCAGCACTGACAAATAGTTGTATAAAAATTGCCTTTGCATAAACTGGCTCTACACTTTGTAAAAAAAATTTTCATATCCTATTCTTTGATAAATATTGAGCCAATATTACATGTCAGGTTCTTCACTCACACAGGGTAGCTGAGCTTAGAGAAATAAGTATCAATGGCGATTTAGAAACAGATGACTCAAGTCAGAGGGAACTTGAAAAATAGATTGCTGGATGTCTGATCCTTTATGTTTGAGATATTGGGGATGTGGGAGCCTTTTATCCGCATCTCACACCTGGAAGGTCAGGTGAACAAGAAAAGATTTGTTGCCTTAGACTTTGCCCAGTTCCCAGATCTTAGTTATATCTGGCCTCTCCTATTTCTCTATGTGAACATGTATATGCTATAGATTAAATTAAAAAAAAAAAAAATGGCCCAGGCATGCCGACTCATGCCTGTCACCCCAACACTCTGAGAGGCTGAGTTGGGCAGATCATTGTAGGCTAGGAGTTCGAGACCAAACTGGCCAACATGGCAAAACGCCATCTCTACCAAAAACAACAAAAATTAGCCAGGTATGGTGGTGCACACCTTTAATTCCAGCTACTTAGGAGGCTGAGGCAGGAGAATCACTTTAACATGGGAGGTGGAGGTTACACTAAGCCGAGATCACACCACTGCACTTCAGCCTGAGCAACAGAGGGAAACTCTGTCTCAAACAAACAAATAAACAAAAAGGAAAGAGGCAATATTGGTACCAGTTTACTATTATTTAAGTTTGCGGTGGAAAAAATAATAGCATTTCCTTGTAAAGGGAAAGAACATAATAAATAAAAGAAGTAAATTACAGTCATCCCTCGGTATCTGCAGGGGATTGGTTCCAGGACCTCTGTGGATACCAAAATCCATTCATGCTCAAGTACTTGATATAAAAAAGGTGTAACATTGGCATATAATCTATGCACATCCTCCCATGCACTTTAAATCATCTCTAGATGATTTTTAAATACCCAATACAATGTAAATGCTATATAAATAGTTGCTAAATTTTATAGTTTGTTTTTTACTGTTTTTTATTACTGTATTGTTATTTTTTCTTAAATATTTTTGACCTGCAGTTGATTGAATCTGAGGATATAAAATCTATGAATACAGAATGCTGAGTACACATCCATATTTTATCTAGCTAAAAGATTTCCACTTTAAAAAACATGATGCTAAAAAGAAGCTCGTATTAATTGTGATGTTTTACAAATTACAACATCAGTACCTTTCATATATATGATCTCATTTAAAATATGGTCTAGTCACACTCAGGGTCCTTTAAAATAATGAAATACTGTATAAGAATATGCTTAAGAATAGACATCTGTATTTGACTGACAAAGGGTAATTAAAATCTAAATTTCTATCTCTATTTACCAAATGCCCTATCTTTAATGCATTTTTGTAAATCTTTGGAAATCATAATATAGTCAACATTTTAAAAGGAAGACCTTAGGCTGGACGTAGTGGCTCACAGGATTTTGGGAGGTTGAGGTGTGTGGATTGTCTGAGCCCAGGAATTGAAGACCAGTTTGGGCAACACAGCAAAACACTATCTCTACAAAAAATACAAAAACTAGCCATGCATAGTGGGTGCGCCTGTATTCCCAGCTACTCAGGAGGCTGGGAGGTCCAGGCTGCAGTGAGCCGTGATCATGTCACTGTAGTCCAGCGTGAGTAATAGCATGAGATCCTATCTCAAATAAAATAAAAATAAAACCCCTTAATGATCACAGATACATATTCAGAATCTTCACTATTAACTCTACCAAAATATTAGAACTATTATAAATTATGTACTTCCATTTTACTTTAGTTTAATGAACTGTGGTTTATTATTTAGATTTGGAGCGTTTTTACCATTCTGACACTTATCCACTGTGGAAAAAAAAAATAAATTAGAGATAACTGTAAGTTCTTCAAATTGTACTTTATAAAAACATGAATTCCTATTACCTATCTTTTAATGTCCTCTTTGCAATTTTCCCTCTATAGCTACTGCTGTTTAGAAGGCATCACTTACTAGATATCTGTGACTTGAAATTTATAGCTGTAACATCACTGAAATAAAATTTAAGAGTTAAGTTCTAAATGACATTGGGCAACTCATTAAGCCCCTAAGAGACATAAACAAAATGAAAACAGTTATTTTGGTCTATCTTTCTCACTCCAATTTTGTAAGGTTTAAATGAGAAAATACGTAAAAAATACTCTGTAAAATCCATAATATACCAGAGGAAAAAAATATTATTGCTATGACTGCCAGTCTGCTAACAGCAAATTAATTTACTGAAATATCTACTACACAATTCATTATAACTTTTTTTTTTAAACAGAAGCTAATGATCTCTGAAATTCAAGGATGTAGGTATAAACCTATGGGAAGACAGCTCATATAGCTGGATATGTATTGGATCTAACCAAATAAAAGTCTGGTGACTGAAGCAATTGTTAGCTATGGAAAGTAAATCACATAAATTGAGATACTAGAGTATCATTTTTCAACAGCTGTTAAAAACAACCTACCTAAAATAAGAAATGCAACTAAAGAAATTCTGCTTTGATAGGGTAAGCCAGATCTTTAAAATAAAAACACATGCCTACTCTGGACAGGGAAAAATCTACACAAAAGCTTGATACAAATGTATGGATAAGGTAGCAGAAAAACTCCATTGTTTTTCCATTTCTTCCACCAATAAGTGTAACACTACATACTGTAAAAGCAACATAATAATAGCAATAGAGCTTTTCTTTCTCTTTCATTTGTTTAACTAGATACTTACAGCTGTTGCCTCAATTCAGGTGAATCTTGAGGTGTTCCAAGTTGATTCAGAGTTCTTTGTATTTCCACAGCTATTAAAATAGAAAATTCATGTATTAATTGTTATAAAAGTTAGGGCAACAGAAACAATAAGTTAAAAATTAATATGTACAAGCAATTGAGCAGTTGAAAAGAGACAGAAAAACTAAAAGTAAAAAATATTAACTGGGAAAAAGAATAAATGGTTTATTTAAATCTACTTAGTAACAAAAAAGAATTAACTTTCAAGAGGAAATTGTGTGGGAATATTAACTTGTGAAACTGCACTTATGACCCAAAAATACTATCTTTTTCCTTATCCCATCAGGATATTAAGTAAATACAACGGCACATAGACTTTCATTTAACACTACTGGCATAAAAATTGTGAGGAAAATAAGTAACAATTACATTTCACTAGAATATAACATAAACAAATTACAGTTAATAAATGAGAAAGGAATAATAGAATTAGAAAAAATCACTTTCAATTATCCATGTAATCACTGATTTCAGCAAAGATCATCAAAGGATGCTAAAATCACAGGACATTCACACAACTTAAATTACTACCACACGGATGACATTAATTATAAAAGATACAACTGTATCATAGATAAATCTCTTATCTGAACACAAGTGACCAAATTTAGCACTGAGAATAGAAAAAACTGACATTATGAACCTCATGACATGCTGCAGTGAGAAAGTCACAATATGATCTATGGATTTTTTTCTTGCCAAAATGTTTAACCTGAATCTAATCAGAAAAAGAAATTATACCCGTCTAGACTGTGTGACAATCTACAAGATAACTTGCCTGGACATATTTTAAAAGTCAATGTCACAAAACAGAAAAAAAATTTGACAAACACAGGGGTACTTTCTAAATTAAAGAATTAAAATACCCAAAAGACACTGTATGATTTTTGACTGGATTCTGAATCAGGAAAAAGCATGCACTATAAAAAAAAAAAAAAAAAAAAAAAAAAAAAAAAAAAAAAATCATAGGGACAATAGGAGAAACTTGAATATGAAAAGTAAAAAACATATTAAACAAAAGTTGAAAAAAGCCCACAACTGGTGAATCCAGGTGAAAGGTTCATCAAACTATACTTTTATATGTATTTTGTGATGTTTAGAATACTTAAAGATTTTAAAATAAAAAGTCCAGGGCTTAAAAGTCATGTTAAACTCACAATCTAGAAGTCTATGACTACTGCAGTTTTTTTTAAAAAGGCTCTACACAGAAGGGGAGGGCCTATAGTTTTATGTGTATAAGGACATAAATAAAATGTCACGGTACATAAATAAAACATCAAGTAGAAATAAGCTGAAAAATCAGAAGAACTATTAACACTCGAATCCCCCCATTCTTTTTATTTAAATGAGTGGTTTATTTATATAGCTTAAATGCTTTAAAAAATATTCATTATTGGCCGGGCGCGGTGGCTCAAGCCTGTAATCCCAGCACTTTGGGAGGCCGAGGCGGGTGGATCACGAGGTCAAGAGATCGAGACCATCCTGGTCAACATGGTGAAACCCCGTCTCTACTAAAAATACAAAAATTAGCTGGGCATGGTGGCGCACGCCTGTAGTCCCAGCTACTAGGGAGGCTGAGGCAGGAGAATTGCTTGAACCCAGGGGGCGGAGGTTGCGGTGAGCCGAGATCGTGCCATTGCACTCCAGCCTGGGTAACAAGAGCGAAACCCCGTCTCAAAAAAAAAAAAAAAAAAAAAAAAAAAAAATTCATTATTTACATACTCAAGGGAATGATAAAGGATTACAAAACGCAGGATAAGTTTCGGTCATTGGGAATGATGTAATAAATACTGCTTTTAAGTCAAAGCTGCAAAACAAAGACTAGAGAGGAATCAAAGCATATAGCAACTCTTCCCATTTGGCTAATTTAATAGGAATTTATTTTTGCTTTGCAGAGGTTGATTTTTCCTTTCATAAGATGGAGAAATTTTGTTTGCTGTGTTTAACTTATGGCTGCTTGTGATCAGTTACATATTCTCTCTCAATCTCAACAGATTTTCTTGAACTGCCTTATAGCTATCTGTCTTTTTAAGCATATTGATAATACAAACTGTAGTATGGGCATCTACAGAAGAGTGGCAGGTATTTATCTCAACTCTAAAGGGTTGTTTTTTAGAAAAAAAATCACAGCAACTGAAAAAAGAAAAATTATTTAACAAATGACACCAGGAAAACTGACTAATCATTTGGGTGTGAGAGAAAGAACCCTACCTCAAATCATATAGGGAAATATATTTTTAATAAATCATTAATTTAAATATTAAAATTGAAAATATTAAACTGCTATAAGAAATATAAATAATGTTTTTATTATATGATCTTATATATAATCTTAGAGTAACAAATATAAAATATTAGCTAAGTGTGATACAAAACTAAAATCCATTAGAAAATATTGACATATTTAACTACATAACTTTGTTAAACGTTTTATGAAAAATGTGTACATATGTCACAGTATCTATGTAAGTGTGTGTTTATATATACACGTGAAACAGTAAGTACAGGATATGATGAGGAAAGAGGTTAAACTACGATGCTAGTTTTCTTGGTAATAGAAAAACAGCCCAATAAAAAAGGGACAAAGATTATAATCTTGCAATTTACAAAAGGCAAATATATATATAACAAAATTTAAACTTCACTGATAATTAACCTTTCACATTTATGGTTGGTAAAAATTATGAAAAGTAGTTGAGAATATAATTACAATCAAAGGCTTAAAAAAAAAAAAAGGTACAGACTACATAATATATAAGAAAGAGGGAACAATAGTCAATGGTAACCAAAAATAATTCAGAAAACATCAGACAATCCAGTAGAAAAATAGGCCAAGATACGTGTACACGTATATAACCAATCTGCATGTTCTACACATGCATCCCAGAGCTTAAAGTATAATTTTAAAAAAAAGTGGGCCAAGAATAGTAACTTTAATAATATTCATGAATAAACTGAATAGCAAAAAAAGGACTGAAATGCGTATCAATCTTGCAAAGTATAAACAAGTACAATACACGAATGCTACATAAAATTACTCAGCCAATTAAAAGAACTGAGTAGAAATGGCTTCTGACAGGCCCAGTGGGAGCCTAGTTCCACCATGTGGTAATTTCCCATTTCTGAACAGATATACTCAGCAATCCCCAGTTCTCACTCATACGCCCTGAGTAAGGACTCTTATGAAAGGAAGAAATCATTGGAAGTCCTGGGGGACCCACTCTAATAAAACAATAAAACTAAGGGTATTAACTGTTCCCCGGGAATTGCTCAGAAATGCCACCGCAAAGGACAGAAAGAGCAGGGAGTAGAGATGCCTCTCATTCCCATTTAACCGATGTATCTGGAGGATGCAGAAGGCTAACGCTCACGACAACTAGCAAGGGTTTATTCAGGTGGTGACTCCAACTGCAATGTTGCTCAAAATGTGATTGATTTCCTACAACACAGCATTGCAATCTCTAACAACTTGTATATGCCTGCTGATACAGCAAATACTTTTCCCTCTATCCTAAAAAACAGAGAACATGAGAAAGTATTTATCAATGGATGGGACATCAGCGAGCCTTCACAGGCATATCTCATGGTTATGTACGTTCTCTATCTCTGTACTACAATTTTGTTATTAAGGATACGGATCATCTCCTCCTGTAGGACACTGGTTCAATACATTGGTTAGCACCAGAAAAGTGGGAAGCAACATGTACTCTTAGATGCCTACAAAGTGTAACTAAGCCAGCAGGTAGAAAATATATTCTGTGAAAATAGAGAGCAGTGTTTCCTTGGTGAAAAACGTTGGCGAATTAATCTGTATGGATAATTGACACACTTAAGTATTGTGCTTTTCTTAGTAAACTCAAGTACAAATGAGAAACAGACTTTTTTTTTTTTTTTTTTTTTTGAGACGGAGTTTCACTCTTGTTACCCAGGATGGAGTGCAATGGCGCTATCTCGGCTCACCGCAACCTCCGCCTCCTGGGTTCAAGCAATTCTCCTGCCTCAGCCTCCTGAGTAGCTGGGATTACAGGCACGTGCCACCATGTCCAGCTAATTTTTTGTATTTTTAGCAGAGACGGGGTTTCACCATGTTGACCAGGATGGTCTCGATCTCTCGACCTCGTGATCCACCCGCCTCGGCCTCCCAAAGTGCTGGGATTACAGGCATGAGCCACCACCCCGTCCTGAGAAACAGACTTTTTAATGCTCCTCCTACCCTTTGCTGAATGACCCAAAGGTTACCAGCTTTAGCTTCAACTCCCAAAAAGAAAAGGCCATCCAGCTAGTTCAAGTGGTGGTATAAGCGGGTCTACTTATACCTACTTATAACTTGGCTTTAATGATCCAGCTGATCCAACAGTACACCACACCTGGGTAATTTCAGGGCACTGAAGAAAACTAGTAGCAAATCCCAACAGAAAAAACATAGGGATTCCTTAGAATGCTTGAGCAAAACCATCCTTTTGAGGACTAGTTCTGGCCTTGCTACTCAGCCCTGGATAGAGCAAACAACGGTATGAGGTAACCAAGTGACCCGAGCTGTTCCCCATGAATTGGGTGTAATCTCGTTGGCATATCCTTTCTACATTTTGCTCCATGTATGTCGGTCAGCCTGCCCTTCACCCCAACTCCTGCAGCACTTGTTCAGTGGGATAATAAACTAGCAATGGCTGTCAGAATAAAATCCACATGTAGGCTCATCAATATGGGCTTCCCCTTATTCAGATTGACATGACCATGGGCATTGCCATATACCAACTGGCAGCAATAGCAATCTCATGTTATACTCTATTAAATTATTTTTGTTTTATTTTTTGTATTAATTTTTTCATTCGTTCTTTGGAATTCTCAGATGCACATCCATGTGCTAGATCTATAGAGATAATTTTACCCATTTTACTTTCTGTGGCTAATTATCTTTACAAACACTTTCAATAATGTGCTAACTTAAAAAAAAAAAAAGCAGACTAGTGGTGTGCCATTGTTAAGGGTTGACCCAACCAGCTGAAGACAA